AGCTGCGTGAGTGGTTTGCCCGGCGCTGGAGGCGAGCTGCTGGAGCTGGAGGTGCTGCGGGTACTGGAGGTTCTGCTGCTACTGTGGGTGCTGGTGCCGCGGGTCCCGGAGTTGCTCGTACTCGGAGTACTGGAGCTGCTGGGCCTGCGGGTACTTCTGGAGCGGGAGTTGCTTCGGGTGTTGGCGCGGAGGCTACTGCTGTCGGTCCTGGAGGCGGTCATGCTGAAGGTGCTCCTGGTGGTGCTGGAGGTACTGGAGCTGGAGGTGCTGCTGGTGTTGGTGCTGCCGCTGGGGGTACTGGTGCTGTCCCTGTTGTGTCTGGAGTCGCCGCGCGGCCTCGGCCATACTTCGTTCCGCTCCTTCAGCAGCTTCTTGGTCTCCCGCCTTCTACTGGTCCTCCTCCTCCCTTAGAGTGTCCACAACCTGTCCAGTCACAGTTACGGTTACAGCCGGCCTCCCCACTGCCTGCTCCGTCTCCCTACACTGGTCCTACTGGAGGTCTTGCTGAGCGTCGTGAGCCTCCGTCTCGCCCTGCGTCGCCTGTCCGTACTGCTCGCGCTAGTGGTCGTGGTTTGCGTCAGCGTCCTCCTCCTGTCCCTGGCACGCACCGGATGTCTCTACGTCCGTCCACTGCTCCTCTGCGTGCCCCTTTGCCTTCTCCTCGTGAGTCTTCTCTTCCTGCTCTTGTCGACCCGGAGTCGGACTCTCTTCGTGCTGCCAGTCCTACTGTCACGCATCTCCTTGCTACTGTCGTCACTGAACCTTCCTTTGAGTCCACTGTTGCGTCTGCCCTAGTTGGTGAGCTCGTCGACTTTGCTGCTCGCTGTCGTCTAGACTACGCTGCCAGTCTTGTTGCTGAGTCTCACTCTGTCTGTCCTCCGTCCGTCGGGGGTGAGTGTGCCCTTGGCACGGACGTCCTTGAGGACAGGCAGGAGGAGTTCCAGTGCTTGGCCGCTGCTTCACCTCATCTCGTGTCCGTACTGGTTACCCCTGAGGGAGACCCGGATGCACTTGACATCCCGACTCCGCGCTCTTACGCGGAGGCGATAGAGGGTCCCTACTCTTCTCAGTGGCAGGCAGCTATGGATGCAGAGATGGCTTCCTGGAAGTCCACAGGCACCTACGTTGACGCTGTCCCCCCTCCTTGGGCGAACATCGTCAGTGGCATGTGGATCTTCAGGGTGAAGCGGCCGCCGGGTTCTCCGCCTGTCTTCAAGGCGCGTTACGTGGCTCGTGGCTTCAGTCAGCGGCAGGGAGTTGACTACTTTCAGACCTTCTCTCCCACCCCGAAGATGACCACTCTTCGGGTACTACTGCACGTTGCTGCTCACCGTGACTACGAGCTGCACTCTCTCGACTTAAGCACAGCTTTCTTACAGGGCAGCCTACACGAGGAGATCTGGCTGCGCCGCCCACCTGGCTTCACTGGGTCTTACCCTCCTGGTACCCAGTGGAGTCTCCGGCGTCCAGTCTACGGTCCGGCAGGCGCCACGTGAGTGGCACGACACACTGAGGACTACGCTTGCGGCTCTTGGGTTTGCTCCTTCTACTGCCGACCCGTCACTGTTTCTGCGCACCGACACTTCTCTGCCGCCGTTCTACATCCTCGTGTACGTCGACGACTTGGTCTTTGCCACAGCTGACACTGTTGGACTCGCCTACGTGAAGTCCGAGCTGCAGAAGAGACACACGTGCACAGACCTGGGTGAACTGCGCAGCTACCTTGGCTTGCAGATCACCCGGGACAGAGCACGCCGCACCATTACCGTGACTCAGTCACGCATGGTGCAGCAGGTCCTTCAGCGCTTCGGCTTCACGTACTCCTCGCCTCAGGCCACTCCTCTGCCTACTCGCCACTCGCTCTCAGCTCTGCCTTCGGATGAGTCCGTAGAGTCGAGTGGCCCGTATCCAGCGCTTGTTGGCTCCCTCATGTACCTGATGACCTGCATACGACCTGACCTTGCATACCCTCTTAGCATTCTCGCACGCTATGTTGCTCCTGGGAGACACCGACCAGAGCACATGGCTGCAGCGAAGAGGGTGTTGCGCTACTTGTGCAGTACGTCGGGCATGGGGTTAGTGCTTGGAGGGCGGAGTCCAGTAGTCCTCACTGGGCACGCGAACGCTTCTTGGGCTGACGACCAGGCTACGCAGCGGTCGTCACAGGGTTACACCTTCAGCCTTGGTTCCGGCTCTGTTTCGTGGCGAGCTACTCGCTCGTCTTCCGTTCTCGGCTCCAGTTGTGAGGCTGAGATCTACACCGGGGCCATGGCTGCACAGGAGCTTCGCTGGCTCACCTACCTGCTGACCGACCTTGGAGAGTCGCCTCGTTCTCCTCCAGTCCTGTACGTAGACAACAATGCCATGCTGGCCTTGTGTCGAGAGCAGAGACTGGAGCACAGAACAAAGCACATTGCTCTTCGCTACTTCCTTGCTCGTGAGCTACAGCAGCGTGGTCAGTTGCGGCTTGCATACGTGGCCTTTGAGGCCAACACTGCTGATGTCTTCACCAAGGCACTTGCGCCTTGTGATCATCAGCGCTTCTGCACGCAGCTGGGTCTTGTGCCTGTCTTGCGTCATTTGCTCACCTCTTGACCTTGCTTGTACTGTTGCATATATATACACCTGCTCTTGCTTGTCTAGTCCTTTATATATATGTACTCCTGGATGTGAGCTGGCCTTGTGGCCTTGAACTTGTGCTCAGAATGTGTGGTGACTTTGTGATCCACCCTGAGCTTGCTTTGCTTTGCTTTGCTTGACTGGTCTTGTGACCCCTTGTTCTCCCCCACTTTGCCTATGGGGGTGTGTCAGAACATATAGCTTGTGCTTATTGTGTAGGCTATTGTGGGGTAGCCCATAAGGGGTACAACCCAATTAGGGTTAGTACTTGTACTCAGTTCGTTCATAGTTCATTCATTCTCGTTTCAGTTTTCTCAATCCATGCGTTTCTTTTGTATTTGTGGGCAAGCACGGCCGTCATCGCGGTCGCATCGAATGACTTGAATGTTATTGGATACACTTGTGGCCCAAGGTCAAATACACCTATAAGAGCAATTCTAGCTTGGTTCGTGTGCAAAGAAAAATCCGGCGCCTGCGATGACGGATGCGTGTGTCCACAAATGTTAAGGAAGTGTATGGATCCCTACAGGTGTAGGGAAAAGCATCAAACGACCTGAATGTTATCGTATATTCTGGTGGCCCATGCTCAAATACACCTATCAGAGGAAATTCAACTTGGTTCGTGCGCAAATAAAAGTCCGGCGCTTGCGATGACGGCTGTGTTTGCCGAAAAAATCATAAGGAAACATGGGTCCCTACAGGCGTAGAGAAGAGCATCGAACGACATGAATGTTATTATATATTCGGGTGGCCCATGCTCAAATACACCTATTAGAGCAATTTCATATTGGTTCGTGCGCAAAAAAAAAGTTTGGTGCCTGCGATGACGGCTGTTTTGCCGGCAAATGCTAAGGAAGCGCATAGATCCCTACAGGCGTAGGGAAAAGCATCAAACAATCTGAAGTGGGCGAGGCATGGCCGGGGCGGGGTCGGGACCGCAAGTGGGCGGGGCCGAAGTGGGCGACGGGGCCGCAAGGGTGGGCGGGGCCGCAGGTGGCGACGGGGCCTCAGGTGGCGGGTCCGCAGGTGACATCGGGGCCTCAGGTGGCGGGGCCGCAGGTATAGGAGACGGGGCCGGGGCCGCAAGGTAGTCGACAGGGCCGCAACGGAGGGCGGCAGCGCCGCAAATGGGGGCGGCGAGGCCGCAGGTGAGGGCGGCGACGGGGCCGCAGCTGAGGGCAGCGACGGGCCGCAGGTGAGAGCGGCGACGGGGCCGCAGCTGAGGGCGGCAACGGGGCCGCAACAGAGGGCGGCGGGGCCGCAAGTGAGGGCGGCGGGGCCGCAATTAAGGGCGGCGACAGGCCGCAGGTGAGGGCGGCGACGGGGCCGCAGGTGAGGGCGGCGACGGGGCCGCAACCGAGGGCGGCGACGGGCCGGGGCCGCAGGTAGGTGACGGGGCCGGGCCGCAAGTAGGCGACGGGGCCGTAGGGCCGCAGGTAGGCGACGGGGCCGGGGCCGCAGGTAGGCGACGGGGGCGTAGGGCCGCAGGTAGGCGACGAGGCCGTAGGGCCGTAGGTAGGCGACGGGGCCGTAGGGCCGTAGGTAGGCGACGGGGCCGTAGGGCCAGGGGCACGTCACGGGGCGTGCCGAACACAGATTAGCAGCGGAAGCTTTAGGGTAGGCACACAGGTGAGGACCTTGGTCACTCTGATAACATGTTGAGGTACTAGGAAGGCTTAGGAGCCATAGCTAGTAGGTCGAGTAGTTGAGTTCGAGTGAGTTTGGGTGAGTCGAGAAGATTGCAACAAAAGAGTGGTTTCACTATAGAGCGAGCAGTAAAATAGGCAAGAATGAAGAAAGGTGCACCACCAAACAGAAAGTTAGATGACTACAGTAGTCTACACTACAGGCAGTTACAAAACAATATATAGAATTATATATTATTCTGACACGTTAATGGATCATCAGGTGGCCTATGCTCAAATATACGTATCAGAGCAATTTTAGCTTGGTTCGTATGCAAAGAAAAGTTCGGCGCCTGCGATGACGGCAGTGTTTGCTGGCAAATGCTAAGGAAGCGTATGAATCCCTGCTGCGAACTCGGCGGCGACAACCACGATCAGCACCGTCGCCTTAAAACAACTACTGCAGCTTGTCGTACGACATTCAGGCAGCCCCGCCCGCGACCAACATTACAACCCAGCAACAGTTCTAGGCGCCGCAAACCGGATGAACGAGAAAGATAATCAGTATTATAGAAACGACTCGCTCCGAAATATAAAATAGTGAACCCTGTCCCATCTTGAAAGTGTGCTGCCGGAAACGGGCCGATCGACACTGTTCCAAACAAAACGAATAGCACTGTGAGCAAATGTGATTGGCTGTCGCCAATCTTTGATGCTTCATGTTCCCGCCAATTTTTTTTTCCCTGCGGATCTCCTATGTCGCATGTTTCGTGCTACACCTGCACGACTCTTGCCAAGCGATGGTTTCGATCGCCGGGCCAAAATGGTTTCAAGCTGGAACTGGGTTTCATGCTAGCTGCTCTCCTTCCCGTAATCAGTAGTTTCATTCATAGCATGTTATAGCTGACAACAATAGGTGTTTGTTGCCTACGTAAGGAACTATCGACTTAGCGAGAATGCGTAAGACTGTTACGTAGCGTTGTATCATAATTTTATTCCCTTCCGTAGCCGATCGTTACCCTTCCACAGGTGTTACTTTCCTGTATCGCGCCTCCGCCATCTCCCCTACCCTCCAGTCGTTCGTCCGCTGTCCACTCCCCTCCCACCTTAGCGGGTCTCTCTCCTCCCCCCCCCCCTGTCGCCATCTTTTTTCGTCTCGCGCATGCATTCGTCGGCCCATCGCTCACCGCGTGGTCTTTAGCTCTCTCCCCGAAACGCCCTCCCCCCGCCATTCCTCCCTCCCCTACGTGCACTTTTCCTGTCACCTTCGCGCTCTCCCTCTCGTTGCCTGCGCGCTCTCCCTCCCGGCCCCTTCGCGCTCTCCCCCCCGTCGCCTGCGCGCTCTCCCTCTCGTCGCCTTCGTGCTCTCTCTCCCGTCGCCTTCGCGCTCTCCATCCCGTCGCCCTTGCCATCTCCCCTCCCATCCGGTCGTTCCCTTCATCTCCTCTCGCTCACGTCCTCCCCTCCCCTCGCCATCCCGTCGTTCGCCTCCTCTCCCCTCCCATCTCGTCGTTCGCCTCCTCTCCCCTCCCAACCTGTCGTTCGCCTCCTCTCCCTTCCCATCCCGTCGTTCGCCTCCTCTCTCCTCCCATCCCGTCGTTCGCCTCCTCTCCCCTCCCATCCCGTCGTTCGCCTCCTCTCTTCTCTTTCTTCCCGTCGCTCCTCCACTTGTCAGAGGTCCACTGGTGATCCCTGCTTGATCCTAGGGAAGGGTTACAGACATGTTGGCCTGGCGGGTTATGGGCGCACTGACCCGCTACTTAACAAGCCCTTTTATCCCAATGGTCTAGTGGTTGGGATTCTGACATGGTATCAGAGCAAAGGTCTCGGGTTCGAATCCTAGTGTGTGCCAGGTCGTCAGCCTGCCTCCGCTCTCATCTCCTGCATTTGTGTGTGCGTTGGATTCTGTGTTGTTGATTGATGTGAGGTTTTGTGAAGTTCTATGACTGCTCGAGTGAATACAGGCATTGTTATCTTGCGCCAAATTCGCACAGAAGTATGTGTGCATGGTGTGCAAGTTTCGCTGCCAATCAGAATTGTGCACTTGATCCAAATGTTCCCCGTTCACAGCGAGACTCGTCTGGAGTGAAAAAATAAAAATGCACAGCACTTCGTTGGTTCCGAAACTGTTCCAAAAAAACTTCAGTTTTCAAGTGGACCCAACTAGAAGGGGGGGGGGGGGGGGGGGGGGGGGGGGGGGTCACTATTTTAGCTGCTGGCTTTAAAACATAGGAGAATACAATAGGGCGCATTAGATCGAGATATACAGGATCAGTGTAGAGCTTGTTCAATACCTCCATCTATAGATTACCTCTTTTTCCAATGGTGTCGAGTTAAGAGTAGTGATGTATCAAATGCGCGAAATGAGGCACGCATTTCTAATGAATTAGTAAAGACTCGTGGGTCTCGCTGTGAAGCCTTTCATCGGTGTTAACATTTGAAACGAGCTGCACACTGATCCCTAATCTTAACTCTTTGGTGAAGGAGAAGTACCTACGAGACAATACAATGTACAGAGTGAGGCATTATCCCATGCAGTCTTCACTTCGTGTGTGATCCCCAGGTTCACATCAGCATTCGCGATGCCTGCCTTCGGCCGTCGATTCTAAGTCTCGAAGTGACGTGGACATTTTTGCCCCAATCGTGGATTCGGAGGAGCACACATTTAGATTTCCTACTTTGTAAAATTTGTCGTCCAAAGACCTGATAATCGTTAAAAGTCGTAGCGCATGGGGTGTGTGGATGAGGCCCTCAAAGATGCTTTGGTTGAAGTGGTAAAATCCTGGAATGCCCTACAATATCACATTCCCCAACTGGAGTGAAGAAAACATCGACGACCACCAGTCACGCGCGGATTTCGGCAGGACCAAGCTGCCTTTTGATTGGCTGACCGACATGTGCCCTAATTGTGAGCCTTGACACTCCAGTTCGACGGCGTCGCTAGAATTGGATCTACAAGCTGATAGGCAGAAGGGCAGTTTTCGGGGAGCTGGGGGTGGGGTGGGGTGGAATGGAGAGAGGAAGGCTGCATTCCCCATCGAAGATCTCCTGGCCTTGGATCGTTGCTTCCCCAAAACCAAATGCTTCCCCCCCTTTTTTTCCCGCGCTTCTCCTAGCAAGAGGGAGCGCTTCACAATCACTCATCTCATGCCCCTACAGTGCCTCCTCAAGAGCTTCTTCTCAATTCAGTACAGTGACAAACCAACACGTGGCTTTCTCTCCCTACCTTCCTCCTCCCCCTCCCGCTCAAGCGCGCGCAATTCTAGATCTCGTCGGCCTGTTCTGCTGAATCTGACGCTGGGCCCTTGGTTCTCGAGGTTTTGAGTCCCTTGGGTCTACACGTTTGTCAGATCTTCAACCATATGGCCCTCACTAAACCTCAGTTTACCAAGTCTCTCGCATTGAGGTAACTGAGCGGGCCATTACGCCCGACCACCCAACGCCATGTCTCCGTCAACTGCGTCCCAAGAGCAAGCGAAGCCCTTGCTTTCATCCTCACTCCCAAATATACCCGCTGCATCACCGACTAAGCCGGAAGCCGTCGCCATTCCGGTGAATCGCCGTGTGCTGCCAGATTTCTTGCAGAGTGTCAACCTCAGCCATGTCAAGCTCGGTTATCACTATCTCATCACTCATGGGCTCCCTCTGCTCCTCATTCCGCTCTTCGCGTCCGTGGCGGTGGAGATCTTTCGGATGAAGCCCGACGATCTGCTGGAGCTGTGGCAGCATCTCCAACTGAACCTGGTCAGCGTTGTCGTGTGCTTCGCCGCCGTTGTTTTCGGCGCGACTTCGTATCTTCTCCTCCGACCACGCCCCGTTTACCTTGTGGACTTCGTCTGCTTCAAGCCTCCGGACCACCTCGCTCTCTCACTTTCGGGGGCTCTTGATCACGCCAAAAAGCTGCAGAAGTTCAACGATAAGGCGCTAGAGTTTCAAAACCGGATTCTAGAGAGAGCGGGCCTTGGCGATCGCACGTGCCTCCCGCCCAGCTTCATCAACATCCCTCCCAACCCGTCCCTGGACATGGCACGGAAGGAGGCGGAGATGGTGATCTTCGGTTCGCTTGACGAGCTGTTCACCAAGACGGGCATCAGGCCCCGCGACGTGGGTATCCTCATCGTAAACTGCAGCGTCTTCTGCCCCACGCCGTCGCTGTCAGCCATGATTGTCAACAAGTACGAGATGCGCAGCAACATCCGGTCATACAACCTCGGAGGAATGGGGTGCAGCGCCGGTGTCATCTCCATTGATCTCGCCCGCGACTTGCTGCAGGTGCACGGCGGCTCTTACGCGGTGGTCGTGTCCACAGAGAACATGACTCAGAACCTGTATTTCGGCAACAAGAAATCCATGCTCATTCCCAACTGCATCTTCCGGATCGGCGCAGCGGCCATGCTCCTCACGAACAAGCGCAGCGAGCGCCGCCGGTCCAAGTACGAGCTGGTGCACTGCGTGCGCACGCACATGGGAGCGGACGAGAAGTGTTACCGGTGCGTCTTCCAGGAGGAGGACGACGAGAATATCGTCGGCGTGTCGCTGTCGCGCGATCTCATGGCCGTCGCAGGCGACGCGCTCAAGGCCAACATCACGACGCTGGGTCCGCTCGTGCTGCCGCTGTCGGAGCAGCTGCTGTTCTTCGCCGTGCTGGTGGGGCGCAAGGTGTTCCGCATGAAGCTCAAGCCCTACATTCCCGACTTCAAGCTCGCCTTCGACCACTTCTGCATCCATGCGGGCGGTCGCGCCGTGCTGGACGAGTTGGAGAAGAACCTGCAGCTGTCGCAGTGGCACATCGAGCCGTCGCGCATGACGCTGTACCGCTTCGGCAACACCTCCTCCTCCTCCATTTGGTACGAGCTGTCCTACGCCGAGGCCAAGGGCCGCGTCAGGCGCGGCGATCGCGTGTGGCAGATCGCGTTCGGCAGCGGGTTCAAGTGCAACAGCGCGGTGTGGCGCGCCCTTCGCCGGATCAAGCCGGAGGATAACGTGGGCCCGTGGGACGACTGCATCCACGAGATGCCCGCGCAACTAAACTTCGTCGACTGAGATGCTCCTGCTCGCCGCTCTTCCTTCGCCCCCCTGCCTTCTCCCATCCCAATTCCAGTTTTCTCTTATCCCTCGCTGTTCATAGTTCCCAGCAGTGCCGTAATGACGTGGCCAGCTTGATCGGTTGCGCGGTTTTGGAAGGTCCTGTCGGCGGCCACCAACTGCTCGTCTATTATGGTGAGGGATCGAGGAGCAGGGTCTTGAATGGCTTTTCTTTTAGCATAGGACCTGGGTTCAAACCCGTTCTCGGTTTTTTGTGTGTGACAATGAAACTCCCTGTTGGCTGGCTATATTTGAATCTTCCTACTTTCATCAAGCGTTCCCTTGCTCGTTTGCAAGCCAAAAAGGTTGTCCGGATAATCAGAACAGACCACCCAATCGATTCACTAACCACCAGCATTGCGCAGTACAACTCTTTCTTTGTGTCACGCCCGTCTCCATGCCCATCTTTAACCCATGTCCACCATCTTCCTCTGCACTTCTGTTGGTGCACATTCCTGTCTTCTACCTCTCCTGCCTAACCTCCCGTCTCCTCTCCACCAGCCACTTTCTCACTTGTCATGTCAATCCGTGTCCCTCTGTTTTCACTCAGTGTACATTTTCCTTGTCAACATTCCCCTTTCCATCCCAGTCTTCCGTCTCCTTCTCCCTCTATCTCTCCCCGATCCCCTATCTTACCTGTATCCTGGTCGCGTTCCCTTGCTCTTCCTCCATCATTAACCTCGTCCTTGTTCCACACGTTATCTGCTCCCCTTGTTCTCTCCTCCACTCAGTGCATCTCCATTCTCTTCCCACTGCCACTTTCTCCTTGTTCTCGCACATAGCCCCCCCTTGTCAGTCTCCTGGTACCATCCGCAGTTTCCAAAGTTAGGAGTCGGTTTGTGCTGGACATTTAAACTGAGTATATCCGTTTCTGGGCCAAAATCGGGCTCAACTATGGATATAAAAACAAGCATAAATGTCCACTTCCCCTATTCAATGCCGACTTTCCACCATGGCTCGACAGTTTTTTTTAGGAAGCATTGTATGGCACTCAAAACAGCAAACCGTGAATGTTTCTAGGCCTAAGGTCGTGATCAAGTCAAGTGCAAGGCAGGTGAATGCCTTGCCATTGACATCTTTGTACCAACGAGCCAGCCAGATGGGTATGTAGTAACAATGTAAGGGCACAATCCTATGGGGACACTTGTGTGTATCACTTAGGGCGTGTTCCTACGGCCCCTTATCAGGGCAACCTCTATCAAGCACGCTACGTTTCCCCCTGAAAATTCCCTAAACCCAAAAACCCTCGCTACTTTTACCAAGCAAGGTTGACAAGAGGTTTGCCCGATTAGAGCGTAAGAACATGCCTTTAGTGACTCTCAAAAACAACATAAACTGTGTTTTCAGTGACTTGTACTAGATTTATTATTGCTCAGCGCGATACACGATGACATCGCTGACGAATAGTGAAACGACTCTGCAATGTCAAAGCATCGCACGCGAATCGAAATGCTCGACACGACCAAATGCACTTGGACATCCGAAAATGCCAATTTTGCAAGGGAAAGAATCCTGCGCATTGAAACCACGCCCCTGTTCGGAGGTTGAACATACGAATGTACTGTCACCCAGTCAAATGTACACAACTGTACATCTCATTTTGATCGCAGGCAATGATATGTGTCCAATTGAACATGCCAATCTGTCGCCCTACGTCGCAGTACATTCGATGTTTGTGACACAACCATTGGGAAAATTAACAGGCGCAACTCGGGAAAACGGGGATTGAGACACAAGTGTCCCCACAGGAATGCACCCTAAGATCTCACTCCTGAACCTGCTGGGGTGGTGGGGCATATTTCCAAGCAAGACCTTACACCATGAAGCAAAGTTGTGCAGTCAGCTGGATGCATCAGTGAGTTTTTACAGTTTCCTATGGCACAGCTTCCTCTTGGCCACAACACCTCTGTAAATGAAATATACATTTACACTTCTTTCTTACCCACCAAGACAGCCATGCCAGCAGTTATCATTCTAGCTTACCGTAAGGTGACGGGACCTGCAATGAAGAGCAGACCAAGATGCAGGTCTGTGAGATGTAAACACTTGCTGCTCGTTAGGATAAAACTGGGTTGAGATCACACAAGGGCACAGCTAGATAGGTCGATGGTTTTGGAGGTGCATTACAGGTAGTTGTGCACATTTTTCCCTGGACCATTTCTAGAGAATATTCATAAGTGTGTTGTAACCAAACATGCTAAAGCAGAGGTACCCTAAAGTGAAGTACTGACTGTACGCGTTATTGAGGCCCATCATAGTGACCACTCGCATTTTTGTCCCTCTCTGTAACAGACGTCCAGGCCGGGTCTCCCAAACCAAACCAAGCCTCGTGGCACATGCTCGGGGGGAACGAGCTGAACCAGAAAAGAGGTACGGTATTCCCTCGAGACGACATTCGATTCCACACACCTTGCAGTTCGGCTGGTTTTCCCAAGCTTCGTGTCTGGTATGGCTGATCCTGCCTTGGCTGCAAAACACGACGGACCTTTATGGTTTGGAACATCGGACCAAACAGCTGAATCTCTCAGCTGACAAAGATGACATCTAGGTTCACCTGAAGCGCAAGCATCTCTGTTTGGCGCGAGCATCTCCGGCCGGATCTCCTAACCTGAGTCCACCCTAACCCGAGGCAATTGACTTCGTGGCTCGGCAGCCAGATGCGCTGTTCACAAACCCAGGGTGAGACATCGAAGTCTCGTAATTCTCCAGTGCACGGCAACTGGCAGTGCCTTGGGCTTGACGGCTTGATCAAACAGTCGGGCAGATTAGAACTAGAAACCAACATATTTGAACCCATGGTTGTGAAACATAGAACTAGAAAGCAACATAATTCATCTCGAGAAACCAAGCACCTTCCTTTACTTTCTGACCGCTTGACTATTTTTCCTCCTCCAAAACACAAGATCCTTCCGCAAACCGCAGGCATCCCATCCAAAAGGTCTCAAAGCAGCCGATAGTTCACATTTCAAGCCTCATTGCCCATAAACGAGCTCCGATACCACATTTCAGGTTCTTCAACGAAAACGAAATCCTTTTCTCAGCATATCATGGAGGCGGCTATTGCAGAGGCAGACAGACAGCTGGCCGAGCTGCTGCAGCTGCAGCAGGTTCAACAGAAGCAAGACCTCATGCGGCTCTCAGAAGCTCACGCTGTGTCCAACGCGGATGCCGCGTTCCGTAGGTGGGCTCAAGACCGTGGTCCCTCTTCCCCCTCCATTCTGCCTTTTTTCTTTTAACCCACTTTTGCTCCCTTCGTGGCATCTTGGTTGTTCGCCCTTGAATCTCGTCCCACCATGTAGTCCTAATCTTTCTTGAGGATTCTTTTCCCTGCTGCAGGGGCCTGGAAGAGCTGATTCAGGACCACCTGAACACGTGTTTGGCCCTTGCCAACTGCGGCCCGGCCACTCAACATCCCCATCCTTACTTGAGCCACCCACTAGCCGCTGAGGGACCATCTCAGAGTGGCGTCCCGTCTGCCAGTGCTGTCGGCTCCGCCGACTCCGCAATTAACAGCAGTTCCAGTGGTGTTGAAAGCAGTGGGACGGCTTCTGATGGAGCCGGTAGCAGCTGCTGCATGACCGCTCTCCGTGGCGGTGTCGGCATGACGATGGATGATGCGTCTCTGCCATCGCTGCTTCGTGATGCTTCTGACAGTAACGTTGAGAACCACGGTTTCATCCCTGCTGTTGACAGCATTGGATTAGCTGGTTCTTCCGCCCAGAGGCACAATGGCGTCGCACCGACCGTTGAAGACGTTGAAGCCGCAGCAGCGGCAGCTGCGGCTGTAGCAGGCATCGCTGTCTCTGATGTGGGTGGCAACGCGACAGGGAGTGGGAATGAGTCGTCGTCCCCCGCGCAAGGAGATGTGGCTCATGCACAGCAGCGGTGGGACGAGGTGCAGGCGGATGCGGAGGCGATCAGGCTCGCACTGGAGCGAGAGGCGAGGGAGCGGGAGTTACTGAGACTGGCAGAACTGCATGCCGCCAGCGTGCTCGATGACGCCTTTCGCTCCTCGCCTCCCATCGCCTCCCGCTCTCCCCCTGAGGATCCAGCAAACTATGCGATACCCGACCATCCAGACGCGTCTGTGATGCACATGTGGCCGCCTCTTGAGCAGCCTCTGCCTGCTTATAGCCCGGTCGGGCAGACAGGAAGCCCTGAGGAGGTGCACGAGAGTGATGCGGAACACACAAGTGAGGGGATTCAGGTGCAAAACGGGGGTGCGATGGAGAGGATCGAAACGGCGGGCAGCACAGGCTCCCGTGGGTCTGTGCGCGGTCGCTCGCCAGGTTACTTATCTGCCTCGCCCGGCAGCAGCAACTTGTCATCCTCCCAACCATCACCACGAGCCACAGCGCCGCTCGCAGCCACCGTTGCTGTGCAACCCAGCGCTGTCTTGGGTGCCGACAGCACTATGGAGGTGTGTGGATACCGAAGCAAGCTTGCGTACGGCCCTGTCTCTGCATCTCGCTGTTGCTCCTTTTGTGTCAGATCATAACCTTCATCTTCTGCGCCCCTCCATGTGACTAGCAGCTGGATGGGAGCATGGACGGGGAGGCGCGTCTGATGCAGTTGCTGCTGCGGGTGGAGAGGGAGCGGCAGCGGGAGCTAGCAGCACTGCTCTCCTTCAGAGCTGTCACCGAGTCATCCTCACGTGATCGGATCCAGGTATCCCATTAGCAACGCACACACCGCCCGTGCTCGTATACAAGCACACCGTTTTGTCAGAACCCCGAGTCCGTCATGGTGCTAGCCTGCGTCGCCCTAGCCGTGCATGCCTTTCATCACATTCTCACCTGCATCTTTCACTCCGCTCCCTGCAGGCGTGGATGCAGCGCCGGAACTTGCTGGTGCAGCAGGAGCAGGTGGAGGATGAGAACGAAGAGCAGACACAGATGACAGAGGCGCAGGAGGAAATAGGAGCACTGCGAACGCACCGATTTGTTTCTGGGATCGAGTAAGTACGGTGATTGCAGGAGATTGTTATTGAGGCTTGTTAAGGAGTGCTGGTTCCTGCTGTGTTGTTTTCCATGATCCAGTACACCAACCGTGCACATCCCACACCTCTGTGCACTTTCCCTTGCATTGTACCCTTTGCCAGGTCCCAGTTCAGATCCAACTTGGAGAGCCTGATTGCTCTTGGCCCAACACGTGCATGGCAGCAACGGAACTTGCGACTGTTTTCACAGCAGCAGCAGCAGCAGCAGCAGCAGCAGCAGCAGCAGTTGAACACACCTGCTCAAGGCAATCCAAGTGGCCCACAGGGACAGGCTCCATGGGCACGCGCATTTCCTGCTGGAGGCGCCCCTGTTGCACCCGTTCATGTCGCAAGCGCAGGTGTCCCTCCCCCTCATCGCGCCACCCTGCCATCACCTGCACCCCTTCCACTGCCTCCTCAACCTACATCGCTGGCGCGTGCACGAACTCCTGGCAGGGGACCCCGACTGCTGCCGCCTGCTCCCCCTCCCCCTCCTCCCTTTGGCGCGCCTCCCCTAACAGAATACAACGAGGAATTGCAAGAGCTGCTCAGCAGGTAAGCACCATATTGTTACGACTGTCTCGCTGCATGGCTCCTCTACTTGCAACCCTTGCATGCACCGTTTTTCCCACACCCTGTATGGGATCCCTCTCATGCTTGGTCCCTGTTTGTGCACACAGGCGCAGTGTGACAACGCTGTTGACATCGGAGTTCCGCCATCGTCTGGAGCATCTCATCCACTCCTTCATCACGCTGCGAAGGCCCTTGGCTGCTGCCGCCGTCGTGCCCTCGCCCGCCGCCGCTATAACCCCTGTGCAGCGCCGACAGCAGCAGAGGCAGCAGCGGCGACAGCAGCAGCAACAGCAGCAGCAGCGGGAGGAGGAACTGAACGGAGGCCAAGTTAATGGGAATGAGGGCGGGGGATCAGAAGTGCCAGCTGGTGCAACTGCAGGTCGCCGGCCACCGATCCCTCCCCCACCTCCCCAGACTCCCCTCTGGCAGATGCCCTTCCACACTCCTGCTGGCCCGCCCATGGGTGGAGGGATGGGAGTGCGAGGGGCACATGCATATGGTGGAGGGTTCAACCAGCACCACACACAGCGCTACATGGACCATGTGAGCCCACGCCACCCTGCTCTTGTCACTCCCACACCACGTGTTTCATAGATATGCTCTGTTTTTTTCTAATTCTCCTGTCATCCCCTCTGCTCTCTCACCAATGCTCCGCCATGCCCCTTAATCTCTGTCCTGGGTCCCTGCGTGCCTTGCTGTGCCACAGGGGTGGTTGGAGGTGCGTGACGAGGTGAGGGGCATGGAGGCGAGGATGCAGGAGCAGATGCAGCGTGTGGAGCAGGCCATGGAGGTGTGCCTCTCCATGATGTCTGAGCTGCAGCGCGCACAGCGCCAGGAGCTAGCCGGGGCACTGCGCCGCGTCTATGACTCTGGCAGAGGTCCGTTTCCCTGCTCGTGGCCCCACAAGCAGGCATCCCTCCCGGTGATTGCATCTGTGTTTTGCAAATCACTCTGGTTTCTGCCTTGCCATATGGCTGCATGGTTATTTGCAAGGCAGTTGCCTCAGCATCCAGTTAATCTTATTTTTTACTGTGTCTATGATGTACAGGTGTGCCACAGGAGGCACTGGATGGACATAAATGGGCTCTCATTCGCTCCGGCACTTGCTGTGTCTGCTGCGACAAACCCATTGACTGCTTGCTGTATCGGTATGACTCAATATCACCTTCATCTTACCGGTAGATGATCCACACGCTTTATGGTACCCAGGACAGTCCATTCTTCTGTCATAGGCTCATCGCTCCAATGGGTTTTTGCTTGCAGGTGTGGTCACATGTGTGCATGTGTGGAGTGTGCAAACGAGCTCAAGAGGCGGGACCAGAACTGCCCCATGTGCCGTGCACCCATTGTGGAAGCAGTCAAAGCTTACACAGCTGCAAGCGGGCATATCTGACACCTTAATCGACACCTCCCACCGTGTGGAGTGTGCTGTGCAGGCTACTTTTTAGAACCATAACCGCATTGACTCAGTTCCTGTAAATATGTATTTGCTATTTATGCTGCTTTCGAGTTATAATGACGTTTGAGGAATCAAGTGTATGGAATCAAATGATAGGGAAGCTGATGTTCAGGACGGTATTGGCCTCGTGTCGCACTAGCAGGTGAGACAGTGAGACCGCAATCCCCCAGGGATTTGTTTCGATTGGGGTAATCATCGCCACCAAGGATGATGTGTGGCTCTCGTGCCCTCTACCCAGCAAATTCGGGATCTAGGGTTTCGAGTTTGCAGGTACGGAGCTTATGACAGATTGCTCCCACGAGGCGCCATACTCGCGTGCTGATTCTCGTGCTCAAGGCGCACTTACTCCTTTTGCAGCTAGTTTCTCGCATCGCGCTGCTTGATAACACCTGGTGGCTTGTAGCCGATTAAAGCACTATGGCCGAGCCGTTGTCACAGGAGCCCATGCACTCACAGGGTCTATACGGCGAGCGCGATTCCACTCAAGGTCGAGGTGCCGGCGACCCGCTGCGATTCCTGGAGTTTTCGACGCAGGGCGAGGACGCGGAGTACGAGTACGCCACGCAGTTCCACGATCTCAGCCAGCCGTCGCGCCCGGACGGCGTCGGGAGTGTCGGATGGGTGGACTCGCACTTAGGACCGCCGAATTCCGCGCATCCCGCAGACGCGTTACGAGCGGAAGCAGCGTATAGGAAGGACGACGCCGCGAGTCAGGCCGGCGCGTTCGCGGAAAATGGTCTGTCTGCGAGGGACGACGCAGGGCGGGCGGGGATGGGCGCGAGCGTGGCCGGCGCAGCGGGTGGGAACGGCGTGGCAGCGGCGGATGCGCTGAGCGCGACGATGAACGATCTGAGCTTCGACGAGATGGGCGAGGAGGACGCCATGGATTTCCCCGCCACGGACTTACCGGAGCACGCGTGCAAGTACTGCGGCATCCATAACCCCGCGTGCGTCGTGCGCTGCAACTTCCCCACGTGCCGCAAGTGGTTCTGTAATTCCCGCGGCAACACGTCCGGCTCGCACATCGTTAACCACCTCGTAAGCGCCTCTCCTGTCTGTGGCGCTCCCGCCGACTCACCACCCTAGCGCGGTCGCGCATCATACCCTGATTGTTTCGGAACCTGGTCCGTTGTCTTTGCAAATCTCATCTGTTTGTGTATTTTACGAAGTGCGCTGACGCCGGTGGGGCCGTGCGCCGTCGTTTCGCGGGTAGGACCCCTTGCGCTCTAGTGCCGTGGCCGTCTGGCGTCAGCCAAGCGCCCCGTCCGCTCTGAACCCCACGCCTGCGCGCTGCAGGTGCGCGCGAAGCACAAGGAGGTGTGCCTGCACCGGGACAGCCCGCTGGGCGAAACCATTCTCGAGTGTTACAACTGCGGGTGTCGCAACGCGTTCCTGCTGGGCTTCATCCCCGCCAAAGCGGAGTCGGTGGTGGTGCTGCTGTGCCGCGAGCCGTGCCTGTCCGTGAACGGGCTCAAGGACATGAACTGGGACCTGCTGCAGTGGCAGCCGCTCATCCACGACCGCTGCTTCCTCTCCTGGCTCGTCAAGGTGCGCCGCAACCACAAGCCGCTGCCTCTTTCCCCTTGCCCGCTGCCCCTCGCCCTTCGCCCCTCGGCCCTCGCCCCTTGCCCTTCACCGCCCTCCCGTCACCCCTCACTCCTCACCGCCCACCGTTGTCTCTTCTATGCCATTCTCCTTCTGTCTCCGTTGTTCCACCCCTCGCACGCGCCACACACCGCGCGTGCCGCCTATCTCACGACCGCCCGGTGCGTGAAAGCGCAGGTGCCATCGGAGCAGGAGCAGCTGCGCGCGCGGCACCTGAGCGCGCAGGCAGTGAACCGCCTGGAGGAGCTGTGGAAGACCAACCCCACCGCCTCTCTCGACGACCTCGACAAGCCTGGTGTGGACGACGAGCCGCAGCCCGTGGCGCTGAAATACGAAGATGCTTACCAGGTGGGTTCAAGGCGCAAGGGCAGGGAGTGGTGCGAGGGGACTGGCAGAAGAGCACGTTGCTCTGCTCTGCACTTTCTCGGGTTTATCGAGTTGAGCTATTGCCTTGTTCTGCCTGATGCGTCAAGGCTGTCTAGTTTGGTATTCATTCCCCACACCCTCAGCCGCCTATAACTTCACTCCCCTTTCCCCCACCATCCCCGCGTGCTGTGTGTGCACCTGAATCCCCTCCACCCCCATGTGTGACGTGCAGTACCAAAACGTGTTTGGCCCGTTGGTGAAGCTGGAGGCGGATTATGACAAGGTGAGCGTCCTCACCACACTTGCTGCTATGCTCTTGCCACCTGCTGCTGCTCACGCCAGTTGCCATGTAGTTTCTGCTCGCTTTGTCTATTCGTCTCCCTTGCTGGACATGGATGCCATCTGCGCCCATGCATCTGCCTCTTTGCAAGCGCTTCACTGTGTCTGGTCGGCCATGGGGTGTGTGGCGGTGACTGGGGGGAGCAGATGATGAAGGAGGCACAGACCAAGGACAACATCACAGTGCGCTGGGACGTGGGGCTCAACAAGAAGAGAGTCGCCTACTTCGTCTTCCCCAAGGTGCCTCTCCCTCCCCACGTCACCTGCTCGCCCCTTCCGTCAACGCATAGAAGTTCTTTGCTTGCTGCTCCTGTCGGTAAAGCGTAAAAGTTCTCTACATTTTGCCTGTGTGCCTGTGCATGTGTTGCATGTGCGTGTGCGTGTGCATGTGTGATGATGGGCATGCGTGTGTGCATGTGCATGTGTGTGGGTGTGCAATCGTCTGTGTGTGCGTGTGTGAGTGCAGGAGGAGAGTGAGTTGCGTCTGGTGCCGGGAGATGAGCTGCGGTTGAAGTACCCAGGGGATCCCATCCACCCCGCATGGCAGTCCGTCGGCCACGTGGTGAGCCGTCCTCTCTTGCCCTTCATCAAGTAGGGCAGAAGCAGAGAGGGCAGTTGTAGCCCCGTAGCCATCCAGGTGCCACTCCATGGGATGCGGTTTGAGAAATGGCGTGTGGGGGGTTGCCTTATCTCAAATGCAATAGGGGAGAGATGATAGTTTCAGAATGAGAAAACGCAAGGGGAGGGGATGAAAGGGGGTGGGGGTTGGGGAAGAGGGTGAGGCAATGCCCGTCTCAATAGAGAGGATGAAAGTTGGCATGTGAAGATGGAAGGTCAAGGGGAGTAATTGCTGCAGAGGAGGAGAGGAGACTCACCCTGGCCTGCACGCAGGTCCAACATCATCTGATTCTCAAACGGCCAGACGAGGCCAGAGGAGACTCACCTGGCCAGACGAGACGGACAAGGAATTGGGCAACCTAGGACATTTCCGGCTCCTCCTCCTTCAATCAGAGTCTCGGTAGCCATGCTCAAGTGATGCGTTCTGCTCACTGAGTGACTTGCCGTTGCCATTGCTCATTCCACCACCTCTCCTCTCCCACCCGCGTGTGCCCCTTCAGATCAAGCTAACGCCGCAGGAAGAGGTGGCGGTGGAGCTGCGAGCAGGCCAGGTGAGCTGCTGCGCCCTCCATGCATGCATGCATGCATGCCTGGGTTACGCTAATCATAACCACCATTCCCACTCATTCCTCTCCTGCTCACTTCTGCTACCACGGCTTGCATCTGCATTTTGTTACATACATTACCGGTTCTAACAATCCCGTCCTGGTTGCGCGCGTTTCACTTTCCCGGCATGTTGCATGTGTGGGCATGTGCATGTGTGTGTGTGGGTGCATGGGGTGTGATGAGCAGGGGGCGCCAGTGGAGGTGACGCACGGGTTCAGTGTGGACTTTGTGTGGAAGAGCACGTCCTTTGACCGCATGCAGGCCGCCATGAAGCTCTTCGCCGTCGATGAAACCTCCGTCTCCGGGTCAGTGCTCCTGCCTCCGCTCCACCACACACTCTCCCACCACCACGCCTTCCAGTTCAAACCCTCTTTCTTTACACTCGCCTCTCCAGTTCTCTCCTCCACTTCCCCCTCCCCCTTTCTTCATTCTGTTCGTCCTTCAGTGTGCTTTCGACCCGTGCCGTCACATGTCTCGCCCACCCACCCCACCGACCCCCTGCGCCGTCCCTGTGCTGCCTGCGCACAGGTTCATCTACCATCGGCTGCTGGGCCACGATGTGGAGCCGCACACGGTGCGCAACGTCATGCCCAAGCGCTTTGGCGCGCCAGGCCTGCCCGAGCTGAACCACTCGCAGGTGCGCCCCCCGTACCGCTCCCTCCGGGCCTTGTCTTGTTGGTTGGGACAAGGTGCCCTGCTGTGTGTCGTATGCAGTGCTGGCGACTGTACTCTTCTTGTAGTCAACTCCTTGGCGTCTCACCGTGCTTGGTCTTGTGTTGTGTTGGTGTGTGCGTGGTGTGTGGTTGTGGGGGAAAGCGATTTGCATGCGGATGCCTGTGTTCGTGCGTGTCTGCTTGTGTGTGTGTGCGCTGGCGAAGGGGTGGGGGTGGCGTGGCTGCATGTGTGCATGTGCATGTATGTGGCGTGAGAGTGCACCATGCATGCATGGCGGTGTGCACCCACACAGATCTCAGCGGTAAAGAGCGTGCTGCAGAAGCCACTGAGTCTCATCCAGGGCCCGCCAGGCACGGGCAAGACGGTGACGTCAGCTGCCATAGTGTACCACTTGGCACGGCAGGAGCAGGGGCAGGTGCTGGTGTGCGCGCCCAGCAACGTGGCCGTGGATCAGCTGGCAGAGAAGATCAGCATCACAGGCATCAAGGTAAGCGCACACATTGTGGGGCCATTATTCTGACCATGGGAAGGATGGGAGACAGTGAGCATAGTGGGTGGAGCGGTGAGATTTATTGCCAAGGGCGAGCTGCACAAGCTCATGATGAGCGGAGAAGGGCGAGCTGCACAAGCTCATGATGAGCGGAGAAGGGCGAGCTGCACAAGCTCATGATGAGCGGAGAAGGGCGAGCTGCACAAGCTCATGATGAGCGGAGAAGGGCGAGCTG